ACAGGACTTTGTGGAGCCCTGCAGCTCGGTGGTAAGAGCACTCGCCTTGCAAGCGAGAGACCTGGGTTCAATTCCAGGCAGGGCGAAACTTTGGGCAAGTTTCCTTACTCCACACGCCTAATAATAATCTCTCCAAAACCAAAAACAATAATAAATTGGTCATTTTCAATCCACGACTGTTTGTGGGACACTGCTGTGCGCAATTGGCTGCCACGTTTCGCCCACAAATATACGGCCAATTCACTATACAGTCTATTCTGTGAAGCACTTTGAGACGTCGAGAAGACGTGAAAAGCGCTATGTTAAATGCAAGGATTATTATTATTATATTAGTATATTCTAACAATCCTAGAATTCTCGTAGTTTCTGTCTAACGGGAACCTCCCTATTAAAGGCACAATTTCAATTTATGCCAATAAATGTTTTTCCCCATTGATATTTATCCACAAAATAAACACTCAGGGACCTGTTCAGAGATTTTAAAATTAGACACCAGTAGTGAACAGTGAGGAGCTTAAGACATTGTGAGGTAATAATAATCCTTGCATTTGATATAGCACTTTTCACATCTTCTAGACATCTCAAAGCGCTTCACAGCATATGCTGTAAAGTGAATTGACTGTATATTTGTGGGCGAAATGCGGCAGCCAATAAAATCTCTTACAACGCCATATTCTGTCCCACATTCCTCGTGAGAACGGAAGCCACCAGCCTGCTCCTTCTTGATCAAACCACAAACCTCCAATGCATGTGATACGCATGCAGTGACTACCTGAAGCAGTACTTTAAGAGCCACTGAAATCAGTGAGATACCTGTGTAGTTTCTGATGATTGCTAATGGCAAGACAACTGGCGGACGGCATTCATACTGAATTCCTAAAAGCTGCTCTGAAGGGGAAGATGGAGAACGTTGAGGATTTACAAATTTATGAGTACAACTTCTACATAAATAGCACTCAGAAAACATCCGCCTGGCAGCCTCATCCTCCTGCCTCGTATCCCCTACCACCCCACCCCCATTCCATCTCCTTCACCCATGTCCCGTCAGCTCCTACCACATCCCCTATCCTACATTCCTTTGGTCCCATCTCTCCTTCCTCCCTCTCATCTTCCATTACCATGATGAAACCCACCACCTGCTGCCTCGACCCTCTCCCCACTCAACTACTGATCACCCAGCACCCCCTCCTCTGCCCAGTGCTGGCAGACACCATTAATCAGTTCCTCTCCTCAGGATCAGTCCCAGTCCCCCTCAAAACCGCCGTCATCAACTCACCCCTCCTTAAAAAATTCTACCCTCGATCCCTCCAACCTCGGCCACTACCGTCCTATCTCAAACCTGGCCTCTGGGACGCCGCCCAGCGTGAAGGGCACTATATAAATGCAAGTTGTTGTTGTTATTGTTGTATAGCGCTTTAACCAAGATACTGTCCGTCTATTCAGGTGGAAGTTAAAGATCCCATGGCACTATATGAAACGAAAAGGGAGTTTCTCCCAAGTGTCCTGGTCAACAATCCACCAAATAAAATTGCTCATTCACTTCCTAACTGTTTTTGGAACATTCCTGTGTGCAAATTGGCTGCTGTGTTCACCTACAAATACACAGTTGCTACGCTTTACAGTAAAATTCTGTGAAAGACTGAAATGTCTCGATAACATGCTAAGGCACTGTATCAAATGAAGGATTATTCCTCTTTAATATTAGAACAAATAATTTATTACCACACTGTACATGCAATGTTACCATATCTTCTCAGCACGCAATAAATTCTTACATTGTTTTCTCCTTAATTGACCGCAAACCCAAACCATAGCAGCAGCTGGGAGCTACCCCTGAATAACAGTTAACTTTATAAATAATAATCCCTGCATTTGATGTAGCACTTTTCACATCTTTGAGACGTCTCAATGCATTTCACAGAATATTCTGTGAAGTGAATGGACTGATTATTTTGTGGGCGAAACGTGGCAGCCAATTGCACACAGCAGTGTTCCATAAACAGTCGTGGATTGAGTGACCAATTTATTATTATTATTTTTGTCTTGTTTTTTGCTTGAGGGATTATTATCAGATGTATGGACTAAGGAAACTTGCCCAAGGTTTTGCCCTGCCTGGAATCGAACCCAGGTCTCTCGCTTGCGAAGCGAGTGCTCTAACCACTGAGCTATAGGACTCCATAATAGAGGACACCGCCCAGCGTGAAGGGCACTATATAAATGCAAGTTGCACCTAGCCCTTGTTCCCCTGTTATTTGCTACCATTTATTTTGGTAGCAGACAATTGAGATACATTATGACAAATGTTCTTTCCACTGGTTGGGAAGTCCATAACCAAGGAACACAAATATAAAATTGCGACTTCCAGAGGAATTTAGGAGGAACTAGTTCATGCAAAGGATAGTGAGATTGTGGAACTTCCTGCATGAAGCAGTGGTTGAATCAGATAGTGTACATGCATTCAAGAGGAAGCTAGACCTTCAGATGAGGGGAATAGAAGCATATCAGGAGTAAAGAATCGTTGAAGACTCGTGTGAAGTGTAAACATCGGCATGGACTGGTTAGACCAAGTAGCCTGTTTCCTGCTGTACATTCTTCGTAAATCCATGTAGAAGAGATAGGTGGTGCAGATGTGTAGTGTATAAAAAGAATGCAGCCCAAATAGCCATTCATCCACTTGTTGAGATGGGCATCGAAGGTAGAAAAAGCATCCAGCCACAAATATGTTCATTTACAGAAGTTTCAAAGCATTCTGCCTACTTAGGAGTCCTGTAGCTTAGTGGTTAGAATGCTCGCCTCGCAAGCGAGAGGAACCTGTGTTCGATTCCCCGGGCAAGGCAAAATGTTGGGCAAGTTTCCTTACTCCACACACCTAGCAATAAATAGGAACCTGGTTGCTAGTCGAGTAGCAGATCGCTTTCCGGGAGTAATAATCCCTTCAAAAAAAGTAATAATTTGGTGGGACACTGCTGTGCGCAATTGGCTGCCGTGTTTCGCCCACAAAATATAGTCAATTCACTTTACAGCGTATTCTGTGAAGCGCTTTGAGATGTCTTGAAGACGTAATAATGTACTATATCAAATGCAAGGTTTATTATTTTTATTTTCAATTGTGTCTGTCTGTAACAGCTAGAGTCCCACAACCAGAGTAGAAACCCAGCATTAGTGCTGTTTACGTAATCCTGAAATTCACATTCAGCATCTTAGAGCTTAAAAGAAAAACTGAAATGCAGGAAATCTCAATATGCAAGTAATGCTTGAAATCCATAATAGGTCAATGTGGATTTAAAAGAGAATAATAGGTTAATATTCTGGATGGGCCACTTCATTACAACAACAATTTGCACTTATATACTGCCCTCCACGCAGGGTAGCGCTTAGGGAGTCTTATCAGGAATGTCAATACTATCTTTTCTTCTCAGACACTTCTTGATCTGTGGTGGATTTCCAGTACTTTCCTTTACTAAAAATACAAACTTCAGCTATGTAGAAGAATTTTGAGTGAAAGCCAAAGCCGAACACAACACTTGAGGTGTTTGATATTAAGATCTGCTCACACTTTGGTTGCTTATCTATTTAGCAATTGAAACCAAGTAAAGGGGAATCCTGTTATAACCTGCTTTTGGCATCCAGATTATTTCAACCTGTGGGCTTTGATGTCACCAGTCATTTCAAATAGGACGTACTGCATAAACGGTTTTATGAATCAGCAAATCGAAGATATTCAAACCAATTGGGATTATTAGAATACAATATAAAATTACACTTGTGACGTGCCTTGTAGGAGGCAATGGAGGGAGCGAGATGAAGGGAATGTGGGATGGAGTTCCAAAGGGTGGGGGCAGAGGCTTAAGGCCTGATCATGGGGCAGGCCGGGTGGGGGCCGTGAAGCAGGCCAGAGCCTGTAGAGCAGAGGGAGTTGACAGGTTGATATGAGGTTAGCAGGTTACAGAGGTAGGGAGAGGCAAGGCTGTGGAGGGCTTTGAAGGCGAGGACGAGGATTTTGAACTCTATCCTCTGGGGGATGGGGACCCAGTGGAGCCAAGTGAGGGTGATAGGGTCACGGAGCCTGGTGCCAAAGACGCTAGGGCTGCAGAGTTCTGGATGATCTGCAGCTTGTGGAGGAAGGAATTGGGAAGGCTGATAAGCAGAGAGTTGGAGTGTAACATCATATTGAAGTGTAACATCACAGAGACTCAAGAGGCTGGGATTGTTCTCCTTAGAGCAGAGACGATTAAGGGGAGAAACAAATAAAGGTGTTCAAAATTATGAGGGGTTTTGAGAGAGTAGATAGGGAGAAACTGTTTCCTCTGACAGGAGGGTCAGTAATCAGAGGACACCGTTTTAAGATAATTGGCAAAAGAACCAGAGGGTAGGGGAGGAGAATTTTTTTTACCCAGAGAGTTGTTACGGATTGGAATGCACTGCTTGAAAGGGTGGTGGAAGCAGATTCAATAATATCTTTCAAAAGGGAATTGGATGTGTACTTGAAAGAAAACAAATTGCAGGGCTATGAGGTAAGAGCGGAGGAGTGGGATTAGTTGGATAACTCTTTCAAAGAGCCAGCACACTTACGATGGGCCGAATGACCGCCTTCTGTTTTGCTGTAAGATTCTATATTTCTCAGTGAAAAACAAACTGGGATTTTATAAAGAGCAAATCACTTTGCAAAGACAAAGCAATTTTTTTATTTTTGGAAAATAAATAAGCTAAGAATTTACAACTAATTTTAAATCTGTTTTGAATTAAAATTATTATGCAAATGCAGTTTCAAGACTATTTTATAATATCTTAATTAACATTGGCCAAACTGCAGTTATATGTCCCACATGTACAGTGCTGCTTGATGGTTCTGTGGCTACCAGTGCTTGGAGTCATTATAGCTAGCCTGACATCATTCGACCATAAAAAACAATATAGTACCAGTTAACTAAATACACCCACTGTTATTAGATAGTTACATCAGCTAGTTGGAAAGTGTTCTTCAGCAATCAAATCTGTACCTTTGCTCCACAGACGCTGAAACTGATTATCGTCCATAGGCTGGTTGAGAATCACCAGGCAGTATTTGAGTTTGCCTGAAATGGAAATAAAAACAGAGACTCAGTCAGGGAGCTGGATACAATGCATAAATGCCACTTACAGTTACAGCTTTATGAGGCAAAGATCAAAGCAGACATGCTTGGGTTACATAAGCCATAAGAATTCTAGGCTACAGTCATTTTTTTTAGCCATTTAATTTTGTTTCCCAGCATTCTCCCAGCCCACACACAACATGGTTTATTTTGCAGCAGCACTTAAACTTTGTCAATGACTGATCCTATGGGGGAAAAGTTTAGGAAATCTGGCCTCACGTTGCCCCCAGCCTTGGCATCTGCCAAGTCCGTGTGCTGCTAAATGTGACATTACAGAAAGGGTGGATCCCATTTTAGTAAAGCTTACTAATAAATAATATTTACATTTGAAAACGCGTCTTCTAACAATGGGGTCTAACATTGAAATGTTTGCTATTCATTCCCTAACAGCAAATGCTAGTTTCTAATGAATTACTTTTAAGCATTGTTGTTCAGCAAAGGGCATCTAGGAAAATATGGCAGCTAATCTGTGCTAGCAAAATCCCATGAATATCCCACGAGATGAATGACCAAATTTAATCTATAAGGGAAGATGCCTGCTTGATAGTTATTGAAGACAAATTGAATTGCCTGTTAAATCAAGAAAAACTACTTTCCTCTAAGATCAATGGAGACATTGTAAATGCATTAAATATGCTGTGAAAACCTCTACAAAATAGGAAACTTTGCCCATGAATCGTGAGGATATAGTGGAGACTTGTAAATACAACATTTTTGGAAGTAGAATTGTGAATTGGAAACCTTCTCTTCAGGTTTGAAGAGGAGGTGAGCAAATGATGGATTGTACCAGCATACCAGTCACATTTCAGATTCGCAGGCCATATAAAATCTGCACAAAACATGCAGCTTATGCACTGGATACCTTTAAAAGCAATTCTCTTAGGAGCAAAACATGGTTACTCTCATGCCCATACTATCAGTACTTACTTTCAGCTTTAAAGAAATTTGCTATTAACACAGAGGAACTATAACTATGAGCTATTTATTTGCATAATGCAATGTCCATCAGAAAATGTGGATCATATTTTACATCTGAAAGTTATATGATCAAATGTTACTACATACTCCAGAACAATCCTACATTTTACTTAGCAAGTAAGTAGAATGACCTATGTTTTTAGCTTGTTTAAAACCTCATATCCTCATTGAAAACATTCTTCAGGTAAAATTACTTCAATGTTGTTTTCAACCAACATGACTGCAGCTGTGCACATTCAGCACATTGCTGCAGTGCTTGTATATTTAGCTTAGGCTGGTTGGCTCCAGATATCACATACTTTGCAAGGTTACTCCTGTCTGAAGTTATTCAATCCAAGTACACAATATACAAAATGTGCACTTTCTTCTAAAATATTTACTAAGAGACAGATTGGTACTATAAAACCTGATACACCATGGTAACAAAACTACTTTTGTTTTGAGAAAATTCTTAGGATGTAAATGATTCAGGTGCTGAAGAAACACGCATTTAACTCTTCATTCACTGTTCTTGAATCTCAAGTGAGCAGCTCTATTAGAAAATAAATTACCGTAACAAGCACAGGACCAAAAGACACATTTGCAATCCAGCTGGCTGCCTACAAAGATCAAATAATGCTATACAATACTCTTATCTCTCATGCCCTCAATCAGAGTGTCACACACTGAAGTAAAGAATCAACAACCTTTAAAACTGAGGCAAGATCCCATCTGGGCAATCGGCTTTACTCCCTAAGTTGAGACTGTCTGTCATGTATATACAATACTGCTGTGCTCCTGGACCAGCTCGGGCGCGGATCCTGACTGGCCAGTGTCTTGGGACGTCCTCCTGACCTGAAATGCGCTAAAAAAATGTAATTTGTTGTTGAGACAGGTATCTGCAGCTTGCTAGGTAGCCATGGCCATCTCTTTTGGCCATCATGATGCGCTTTTGTCCATTTTCCCCCACACACCTCCCCGCACCCCAGCCCCAGTTCAGGCTGCCAGTCAGTTGTGTGAAGCACTTTGAGATGTCATCAATACACTTGCCATATAAATATAAAATTGTTGTAAAATGTCTCGGAGCAGGATCCAGATCTTGCGGAAGTACATTGTTGTTATAACACCAGGAACATCGCTGTTGACTTTTCTCTTCAACTGCACCTTCAGTCATCTTCCCACCTCCACCCCCTTACCCTCCACCCCTCTTGACTCCAGTCCCCAGCTTATGTGCAAACCCTTTACTGAGCAGTACCTTGGGCGGTCCTCCCGACATGAGAGGTGCTACGTAAATATAATTTGTTGTTGTTGAATCAGCAGATGGCTAGGTAAAAATTATTTCTTCCAAGATACAATTCACTCAAAAGGATTTGGCTGTTGCTGCCACAAGCCAATGCATTATGGAGAAAAATGGCTGAAACAGTCTGCGCTATAATGAAGAATGGCCACTTGTCTAAGGTACCAGAGAGAGCCTGGCAATTGCGGTAACTACTCAGGAAAGAGTGCTCTCAAGAGGAAGGGAGAAAATTGCCAACAATAATTACTGTTTTGTTTGCTGAACCAATTTGAAACACTGGTGTGCTTCTCATCCCTCTTCCCCTACACCCAACCATCAACTTTCAGCCTTCAGCCACTTTGCCCCACTATCTGGACCTCCCCCTAAATCCCTCTGTTATTGCATGCCTCCACTCACAAAAAGCTTCTAAAAACATAACTTTCTTTGACTGTGCTTTCATTCATTTTCCTCCTACCTCCACAATTTTCCACCCAACTTGGGCTCCCACTCCATCGGCTATATGGGTGCTATATAAGTGCAATTTGCTGTTAGTGAGTCACAATCACAACTGTTCACAAGAGCTCCATTATTGATGTTTGTTAGATGTAGATGGGATAAATGGGCCAAAGGACTCGTTTCACCTGAACCTCTCTTGTGACCTTAAGACACAAATAAAATTGTACTACCATCACAAAGTGAAGCCAGGTTAAAATGCAGGTGACAAGGGCAAGCATTTGGAGGATAATAATAATAATCCTTGCATTTGATATAGCGCCTTATCATGTCTTCGAGACATCTCAAAGCGCTTCACAGAATATATTGTAAAGTGAATTGACTGTATATTTTGTGGACGAAATGCCCACTGTATAAGAAGGGAGTATAATAAAGGGAAATTATATTTCCAGAATAATTTATCATTGAAGCCTATTGAAGTGGATAGTATAAAGTAGTTTAAGAGGCTTTTTCCTATTCCTAAACATTTAAGTATGTTAATAGGAACCTTGTTTACGCAGAATTTTTCCCATGTTTGGAAAATTTACCGCCCTTGTCAGCAAGCCTTTAATGGGAATCTCAACCCCTAAAAGTTTCAAAAGAGCTCATTATTTTAATAAATCAAAATAAGCATGGGGACTAGAAAAGTGTTTGCTTGATAATTGCGTGTTTGCGTGGGTTGAAATGTTTCAGACGTGCAAAAAAATGGTTATCAAGCACCTCCAGAAAATCATATACAAAAACTTTCTCAAAATGTACTTCAATCCAGCCTACGTGGATGATTACCATTCATTTTTCAAAAATAGAAAAATATTTTATTGTAGTAATTCATGCATCCTTTATTTATGCAAAACCTTCTGGAAAAATAGTGATCAAGGTTGCTTCTGTCTGCTCCTATTTGAACTCAACTAATGTACTGAAACCAATGGAAGTTGGCTACCATTGCCAGATTTTGTTTGTGTGTGACAGATTTATCATTAAAACTACAATTTTATAGGCAGCACTTCATAGCATCAAGACAAGACTATTTATGCATTGGCTAACATACAATGTTTAATCACAGAATCTAAGACATACATACTGATGTAATTCCCACTGGTTTGAGTTTTACGACACAAAGTCGTTTTTTTAAAAAAAATAGGAAATCTATGAGTATAGAAAAACAAAAAATACATTCCCAAGATCACACATCCACACAAACACACACCAACAACCAGCAGGGATGACTGGATAATGATCAGCAATTTGGGAAGATTTGTTCTGAACTGCACGAAAGTTGAGGCTCACTATCAAAAAAAATTACAAGATAACAAATGGAAGGGTTATTAGAAAGAAAATAGATTTGGTTTGAAAAGTTGCTCATCTCCATATGGGAAGTCTTCCCTCCAAATATTTTGTTTTTCTCCCTTGAGTTGAGTAGAATCTAGCAGCATACATACATAAGCACTCTCTATGCTGTGGATTGGCCTCGCATGATGTCCATTGCTCCCTGTAGGAAATTGGAATATATCTGGCCTGGAACTTTAAACGTGGAACAAATCCCTTTGACAATGATGGTCTTAATTCTCTTCCAGAGGTTTGCCAATTGCAGGGGATTCAGAATTATACAGCAATCGATTACATTGCTTCACCTGAAGGCCAACACATCCTATGGTCTCCAGGTATATTGTTCTGTGTAATTGAGGAAACTTCAGACCATTTACAGGGCTGATTACATAGCAATAGTAATATCCCCTGTGCTACGAGTCTCCATGTCAAGGTACTCAGCCATATGAAGGGTGTCGCTGATCATGAAATCTGGGACTGAGTAAGTTACAAGAGTTGACAGGGTGGACTCAAAAACTAATGATATAGGCAATGTGTTTCTTACTTGTGCGGGTGAGGTTGTAAGTTACAACCTGACAATACTCATCCACAGAGCACGATCCTGTTAAGGTAACTGCAAAAGGAAGGAGAGCTACAAGACTTGATCAGGACGTAAAAGTTTGGATTTCGCTCCTGTGAAGAGTGCATGGGGCAAGTTGTAGGCTACGGAAATCCATGGTCAAATCCTGGAATGTATCCAGATTGTGTATTCCAGCTTGGAGATTAGGGTTAGGGCTTCACCTGAAGGCCAACTGTTCCAAGATAATATCTTTGAATAAATTCTACCACAGCAGTGAACTGAATTAAAAAAAAGGCCTATCACAAGATCATCCTAAAGAAAATAATTTGTTTTCAGAATCACCTAGACTAAATAGGCTTCATTACTGAGCAACCATCATAAACCAGTGAAGCATCAAACAACAAAGCTGCCCTGAAACAAAAGCATTCAATTCTTTTTACAGAACTGAAATGTAACTGTAGGTAAACTTGCACCGACTGTTGAAAGACTCACTCAACAGATCAACAAAAAATGTAACCAATAACCTAACAAGCACGTAGCTGTGCTCTTTTTGTTGAATAAAACAAAATGTTGTACCTGTGGGAAGCAGACACTCCAGTGGAATTAATACATTGTCTGTGCCAGCCATCGATGTAGGATGTGATACAGTTTCCCAGGGATTCTGTAAGTGAGCAAAAACATCACACAATATTGGCAACTGCTCTGAAAAATCTTTCAAAGCCTATATTGTTGAGTTGTAATGATTAACCTCTCTTGACTCTTGTCAAACTTGACACATATTCATTGATTATAAAACTCAAAACAAAGTTAAGCTTTAACCAAATGCTTCAGAAACTATATTCTTGCACAATATCTGTGAACTCTTAGTTTACTATAGCAACTCAAATATTCATTCCACGGCAAGTTAAAAAATAACTTAATATAGTTTATGAGCCCAAATCCTGGCATGGAAATCAACCTAAAGCAAAAGTGCTTGAAGCAAGCAAGATTGCAGAGGATATAGCAGAATTCGATATCTGCACTAATGTGACAAATTCCTTTGCAGATATAAAAGCAGTTCAGAGTCTCTATGTATTTGGTATCTCTCTGCCTCAGTCTGTGTTTGTCTGTGTCTCGGTCTGCGTCTTTCTACTCTTCTTCCACTCTAACTACCTCTTTCTGGATCTTGTACTTACCTTGCACTTCTGGTTCCAACTCCATTAAAACTGTGATCCCTCGCATGCACGCGAGAAGAATTCCTGACTTTGTAAACCAACTAGTTTCTGCATTGGAGCACAATGTAGGCAGTCAGGCATGTGGTTAGAAAGTGTGGATACTTGAGTTCTACTGTATGAGATGCTTTGGCATAATGTGTTACATCAAATGTAAACTATGCATGTGTGTTTTTGCTCCTGCTCCTCTGTGGGTTCTCTTCCCACATTATTATTATTTTTCGGGGGAGGGATTATTACCGCCAAAAAGCAATCGGCAATCAACTAACAACCGGGTTCCCACTTACTGCTAGGTAAACAGAGGCGTGTGGAGTAACAAAACGTACCTAAGGTTTCACCCCGCCCGGGAATCGAACCCGGGTCCTCTCGCTTGCAAGCCAAGGACACTAACCACTAAGCTACAGGACTCCACTTAGTGAAAAATTCTGGAATTAGGAAGCATGCAGACCAGGTACTTTATAAAGTTTACCATCTTACAACTTATGCTTATTTTCATTGTACATATTAATTACATTCATCATTTAGTAGTTTAGATCAGAACAATAGGAATGTTTAAAAGGGATCCAAACAGATCCTTAGAGAGTAGAGATATTGATCGGCTTAGTGAAAGTTTCTGAATTGTAATGGTGCTGAACATATTGAACATAAACATATTGGTGTTGTGTTGAAATGTTGGGATACTTTCTTTCCTGTATTTTCCCAAACACTTCAACTCACAGCAAATAACTGAAGTCATAAGTGTTGTGGATTGCAAAGCATTAAGGGACAAAGTAACCGATGGCTATTGCAGGCGTTCTCCTCCTCCAATGATCAGGAAAGTCCACCTCTTTTAAGATCCTACTCCAGTTCAGTAGGACTTTTTTTTGGCCCAGTGCCAATTCATGCTGAATGCAAACGTATGCAGAATGAGAGGTGAAGTTGTAATTAATGTAAGCGTGCTGTCCTCAGCAGAATTTTTTTAATCTCCTTCCCATCAAAGTTTCAAGGGAATGTCAAAGTTCAATCCTATGATTTCTTAAAGATTTGCACTTTAAAGCTCCATAAGTGATTGGATTTATTGAACCATTTTGTGCCTGAGTTTTTCTTTATAATATACCATTAGCTAATTTCTGGTCACTGCCAGTTGAATTACAATCAAGCTTTCTCCTAACGGTTGGCTGTTTTGCAATAATATATGTTTTAGATTTTTTTTGCAACTACCTTTGTATCATCATTCTGCCTACCTTATCATTTGGGATAACCCGTGTACATTTATGTTAAAACACTTTTCTGATTTTTTTATTTCTAAATTTTTAGATAATAATAGCAAAAACATTTTTTGCAGAAAAGCAATAACAATATAAACATCATCAATAACATACAAAGCAAATTTCTAGCATATTAGAACTACCAATACAATGAATGTACAAAAGTCGGGCGGTAAGCACACAAACTGCCCCTTATTAAATTCGGAGCAGCCACAGCCCCAATATCACCTCAGTGGACATTCTCAGACCCTATTCAGTCCCGCAACGTGAAGCAAGTCCACGCACTGGTCTACTGGTTTAAGACAGTCCACATAATGATTGCTGCTACCTAACCTAAGGCAGGAGAAGAGAACAAATCGTTTACTAAATCCTACCTTCAATAACATCCCATTGAGATAACCCCATTCAGCCCCATGAAACACCTTGTCAATGTCTAGAGAACGTACCCATGAGTTTGTGCATCACTGCATTAGTATGCCTCAGGAAGGGGAAAAAACACTCCACGCACAATCTTAAACTGCAGGGCTTCCTTTCCTAAATAGGCATAAGTTGACTCTGCCACATTACTGTCCTCACATGAGTGATGAGCAGGACAGAATGCTGTGGAGTTCTGGATCGTGGTGGGGAAGAGTTGGGGAAGGAATCAAGTCTGAGGTTGACACCAGTATCCTTTACTAGCACTATTTTCTCATTCGCCATATTATTTCTTGCAAACAGCAAACGCCCAATGCTTATTATGTTCAGAATAGTTGTTCAGTTTGAAATTTATGCATAAATGACGCAGGAATATGCTTGTCAGTTGTTGAAATTACTGTGCAACAGTAAAACAACATGATTATTGGTTTAAGTTAATCAAGCATATTGTCCTGAGCATACTGGTTAGAGCACTCGCCTCGCAAACCAGAGGATCTGGGTTCAATTGCTGGACAGGTTGAAACATTAGGCAAGTTTCCTTACTCCACACATAATAATAATCCTTGCACTTGATTAACACTTTATCACGTCTTCCATATGTCTCAAAGCCCTTCACCGCATATAGGTAAAGTGATTTGACTGCATATTTTGAGGGAGAAATTAAATCTCTATGTACCTAGCAGTAAGTAGGAACCCAGTTGTTATTCAATTGGCGGATCAATTTAATAAACCCTTAAAAAAAATCATTCCATCCCCGACTGTTTGTAGGACATTCCTGTAGGCAATTGGCTGATATGTATCACCCACAAAATATACAGTCAATTCACTTCACAGTATATTCTGTGAAGAGCTTTGAGATATCTCAAAGTTGTGAAAAGGTCCTATGTCAAATGCAAGGATTATTATTATTAAGTTGTGGCTAATAAGCAAGTAACATGTAGTAGATGCATTACTGTTCCTTGAGAAGGGCCATTTGCAGGTATTTTTATAAACATTTATGCTGCATTGGAATTCACTCGATGCGAACTGAAAATATTATATATAGAAAACAATTCAGTTCACTAATAATAACATTTCCATCTGCTGAGAATGAAAATCGGCATACTAATTATTTAATTCATAAGGTGCGGAGTGTGAGCCTCACAAATCAATTGAATTGGACGCTTTCAGTCACAAAGCACTTAATCTCTGTCTAAGCTCAGACTGAATCACTTAATTACACTTTAGAGAAACATCGATTCTACTCCAGCTACAGAAAACAAGTCTCAAGTTCATATTCATTTTTGTGAACAAACCAGTCAGTCTTAAGCCTGAGGGCTCCAATGATGGCCCAGTGTGAAAAGACACTATCTGGTGCAACGCAAAGCCATTTAGACTGTGTAACAGATTCCATTCATTGATCTTCGCTAGAGCAGCAATTGGGGAATAATAATCTGTCTTCTGGGTTAGGGAGAGGAAAATCTGCAGCGGTACCTGTTCCCATTGTCTATCCAGTGACCCCATCTAGAAAATACACATACAGGGACATCAAGTGAGGCAATAACACTCATCGTCCAACACTTATTATCCGAACTGAATTGTCACGGGGCCAAAATACCAGAGGGCTCCTGGCGCCTTTGAAAACCTATCCCAGCAAGAAACATACATGAAAATAATCAGAAGAGGAGAAAGTTAGCCTCAACAACAAAACATCTGTTCCAGACGAGTATCATAATTTCAAGAAGCAGAGTAGGAAGAATTTCATTAGATAAGATTTTTTGAATCAATGTCAAAAATGCACCAATTTCCAGTTGAGTGGTTCACTGCAACCGAAATTTACGTTCTTAATTTACTTCATCAAACCGTCAGCCAGTAACACTCAATTTGCCAGCTCTAGCATTCCGCAATTCCTAATCTAGTAATTTGTTGAAATATCAAACATGATTTTTATGATTAATGGTTCCACTATATATGTTTAAAATTTTTAACAAGCAGCTAATATGTTTTTTTTTTAAATCTTGACAAGCAAAATAAGTCATTTATTCAAAAAATGTTTTAAAGAAAACTCAGTGGTGTAATGGGTTAGCAATCATGTCTTTTCAGCCTTGGGATCTAAATGCAGCTGAAACTGATTGGACTGAAGTTCCTCTCTCTTCTTGCTACGAGAATCTCCAGTGAAATAAATTGGGGCAGACTCAAGCTAGTTCCTAGTGGTATCAGTTCCCAGCAAAATATGACCCATAATTCAGTACTAAATTAGCAATTTTATTCTAAGAGGGAAGATAAGAGAAAAAAAATTGGTGCGCTTCTGAAATTATGACTGATACACATAAAATGCATGTTTGTCTGAGATTCACCTGTATTGGGAGTGATTCGCGTACGCGAATTGCAGACAGTTTAAATAAAATTCTAATTTACATTTACATAGCACCTTTCACATTGGGAGAATAGCCCAAGTTGCTCAACATTCATGGGAAAAGATCATCAAAAGCCTGGTCAAAGAGTTGGGAGCCGGGGGGGGGGGGGGGGGGGGGGGCGGGGGGGGGGAAGATAACCGAATGGTTAAGAGGCAGGTCTTGAGACGAAATTGAATGAGGTTAGGGATGTAGTTGGAGGGATACTCGGGTGGAGTTGCAAAGAATGGGGCAGATTGGCTGATGGTTGGGGTTCCACACTCGTTTGTAAATGTAATAACCTTTTGGCACTGAATGCTTGTTATATAGAGTAATTTAGCATGGAAACAGGCTATTCAGCCCAACTTGTCTGTGCTGCTGTTTATAGTCCAAACAAGCCCTCATCACTCCTATTCCCCTCCCCTACATCCCTCTATTCCTTTCCGCTTCATGTATTTTCTCTAAAATACATTGACCCTTTTTGCTTCAACCAGAGATTACAGCAGTGAGTTCCACATTCTTATCACCCTCTGCTAATAGAAGTTCTGCCTAAACTCCCTATTATATCTACTTCTAACTATCTTATATTGATGCCCTCTCATTTGGACTCACCAACACGTGGAAAAAGCCTATTAATGTTCACCTTACAAAATACTTTCATAATCTTAAATAACCTGTATCAGAGCCACTCCTAATCGTCTCAATCTAGAGAAAAGCTCCAACATGTCCAATCTTTCTTGATAGTGGTATCTATTCATCACAGGTAACATGCTTGTAAACCTACACTGTACTCTATCCAATGCTACAATAGAACTGTACTTAAGACTTCAAATGTGGTATAACCAATTTAAGGTAACCTGTTATGAGGTTATTTAATCTCCATTTATGAGTGTTTCAACAAGACAACCCCATCAAGTAATGTAAAGTATAAAAAAAATGGTTTTGAGGAATTACAAGTTTAATTTGGGCAAACCAGAAAACATAAAAGCAATCATAATAATCCTTAAATTTGGCATAGTACCTTTCATGTTGGGAGGATATCTCAAAATGTTTCACATGATAAAGTGTAACTTCACTGTAAAGTGGAGTGATTGTGTTTTTTGGGGGGAATACAACAGTCAATTTGGGGACAGTAGTGCCCCACAAATGGCCATAATGTGATTTACCAATTTTATTGGGGGATTGTTGACCAGGACAACAAGAGAAACTTGCTTCTTTTTTCAAATAATGCTGTGGGATCTTTAACATCGACCTGAACAGACAAGACAGGACCTCAGTTTAAACATCTCATCCCCAAGACGGCAACTCCAACAATGCAGCATATCCCCAGAACTGCATCGAATCTCAGCCTAGTTTATAGTTCCATGTCCCAACATGAGGCTTGAATCCATAATCTTGATTCAGAGGTGAAAGCCCTACGCAATGAGCCAGGCTGACACGTCCCTTATGTCAGTCAACACAGTAGATTTATTAGACACTTTCGCTTGAGACAAACCTTACACTTTTATGTAGTAGTCCCTTCATATTCTAACCTAAATAAAAAAATCTTGCATTTTTGATATAGCGGCTTATCACAGCATCGAGACTTCTCAAAGTGCTTCACAGGATGTACTATAAAGTGAATTGACTGTGTGTTTTGTGGGTGAAACGGGGACTAGCAATTGGCTTCGCCTCTGGGCACTGAGTTTATGCTGGAGCAGATTGGAAAATATAAATACAGTAAAACAGTTTCCAGAATATTTCAGTTACTGTAACTTTTTTCTAATTGAGAAACAAAAATGGGAAAGAACTAAACTAAATTCATACCAAAGGACAGATACACAAATATCAGCAGATAATAATAATAGTAATCCTTGCAATTGATATAGCTCTTTTCACGTCAGGAGGACGTCCCAAAGCGCTTCACAGAATATAAGTGAATTGACTGTATATTTGGGTGCGAACGCGGCAGCCAATTGCGCACAGCAATGTCCCACAAACAGTCATAGATTGAAAATGACCAATTTATTATTGTTTTTGGTTTTGGAGGGATTATTATTAGGCTCTGTGTGGAGTAAGGAAACTTGCCCAAGGTTTCGCCCTCTGCCTGGAATTGAACTCAGGTCTCTCACTTGCAAAGCGAGTGCTCTAACCACTGAACTACAGGGCTCCACAGATGAGGTAGTTGAGACAGATGGAAGCTGTAGCACACATACAAAAATCGATGAAGAAGCAAATCTAATTGTCAATGTAAAACAATATCTGACACAGAAGACCATTTACTTTGTCATTAATTGTTCGTATGCATCATTATCCCCAAAAATCAGCCAATGTGTCTGTGTACTGGAAATACACATCACGCAGACATTACATCATAGGCAGAACAATCCAGCACATCAAACGTATATCAAACACTGAAGCTCACTATTTTAGTCCACCTTCCCTGCTCTTTCCCCTTACCCTTTTTTATTCTTTCTCCTTGTTCAATCCTCTTTTTACAGTTATATTCTCACACTCTTTAGCCACTTATGGTAAAGAACTTCACGTTTTCATAAGCCTCTACATGGAAAGCTTCTTCGAACCAGAGGTGGCCAACCCGTGGCCAGTATGCCTGCAGGGCTGTACCTGAACATCGCACTAGTCTAGCTAAGTCTGGGTTTGAGCAGCAATGTGTTTCCTGTTTTTTCTTGATTGAATATTTCTTGATTTATGGCATAAGTCAAGAAATATTCAATCGAACAAAATTATTTTGTTGGCCGACCAAAATGTTTGACCACCACTAACCTTTTCCACTCCCTTCATTCTTTTGAGTGAAAATCCTGAGCTGATGCCTTTTTGTTAAAAGTTGACCAGGCAACAATAATAATATTAATCTTTCTCTATAAATAACACGCATCTCACGAAGAAGAGTATGGATTAGTTTGGCTGAAAGGCCTGTTTCTGTGCTGTAGCAAGCCTAAGTAATCTTCTCATGTTCTAATGCATATTGCCTTGCGTGTGTCAGCCTGGCTCAGTAAGTTGCACTCTCGCCTCCGAGTCAGAAAGTTGTGGGTTCAAGCCCCATGTCGGGACTTGGAATCCCTGTAGTCCATGTAGACACTCCAACGTAGTACTTGGGTGTGCTGCGTTATCGAAGGTGCTGTCTTTTGGATGAGATGATAAACTAAGGTCCCATGTACCTGTTTAAGTGGTGTTAAACATGCCATGGCATTATTCAAAAAAAGGGAGCTTCCCTGGTGTCCTGGCCAACAATCCCCCAAATAAAACTGGTCATTAACTCCATTACTATTTGTGAGACATTACTGGGCACAACATTGCTGTCACTATAATAAATCCTGTGAAGAGCTTCTTTTTTAAAAAAAGAGACTTTCTCGCTGTGTGAAAGGTGCTAGATCAAATGCAAGGATTATTATTAATATGATTATTAATATTATTATTAAACTTAGAAATGTTTCCCACTCTGCTGATTTCTAAAGTTACATGGATGTAAAGCAATAGAGGTTTCAGCACAGATTCCTAGGACACACCACAAACTACAGTACATCCAGCCAATTTGAGAACCATGATCTGCTCCCTGCCTTCTAACTTTTATACATTTTTCTTACCATACTCTATTAGACAAATCAGCCATTCTTTCCACTACCAGACCTCTACCAATGAAGTTCTCAAGATAATCACTAGCAGGCATTCAAAAGTTGCTGGGAAGCAGTTCTCTATTCAATGTTCCCTTCAGCTTGTTAGGCAGCTCACATCCCATCAATGTTTCTTTCAACACTTCTATTACAATATTGCTGAACAGAACAAACGGGGGGTCAGGAAGAGAGAATCTACAATCTACTTCATGAAGGTGTGCCAATGTACCATCCATAACTCAGACCTCATTGGCCATATCTGACACCTCAAACTCTCACCCCACCAAGTTGCTGCATTGCTTCTCTCATCTGTACTTATACAAAAGACCCCTGCATTTGCAGGTGGAGGATAACAATACTTGCAATAATACAACGACCATTCAAAACTTATTTGTGGGAACATCTAAATACCTGTATTTTTTTCCTATGTAACACAGAATGTATAGTACAGAAATATTTTATTTTCTGTAAGAGGTAAAAGATAAAGTCTGCGCTGATGATTTTCTCCACATAAATCACTTAGTCTAATTTCACTCCCCCTCTTGCTTCTCTTACCATTTATTAAACTTTTTCAGCAGCAATTCAATTTCCTTTTAAATTTATGGAGTTTGCTTCTACAGTTTTTTGTGGCAAAAACCATGTAAAGATTTACTTTCTAATCTCTCTTTAATTCTTTTTGTGATTACCTTAAATTTTATTGCAGGTATTCACCGACCAGTGCAATGATCAATTACTACTTACCCTGTCATAACCCTTTTAAGGAAGGAGTTAAAATAAGAAACTCTGTGGGAAACTGATCGAATTGTCTCACAGAATTTACTTCTGTGGGAAAAGACTGATTAGCACTTTGAATTTCCCTCCCACAGGTTGGGAACGTGGATAAGGGAAAAGAGCAACTTCCCTGGTCACATTGTACGAAAGAGTACGATGATGGGGAAAAAAAGTGTTAGAGTCGTTGTTACTAACCATGAAATGGCTCTCCTAAAAGCCAGTGTCTTGTTTCATATGTCCGTGTCTACTGAGGCCAGATGTGAGTGCAGTCGTAGCCAGACCGTGGCTAACCAGGAACAGCAAATCAAACAAAGTCTTGCAGTGTCACGTGAGAAATATGAGGCAAAGATTAACGAGTTGAAGGAGAAATTAAGCACTCGGGGATCAGGCATCCCACAGCACTCCAGTATGAAGCAGAAATAAGGAAAATCTTAGGGAATCTGAAATTAAAGCAGGGAAATGACTCACAGGCCCACATGAAAGCACTCAAACAATTAAGTCTATACTTGTGAGGAGTCAGCAAAGATCAAAATGCTGTTATTCTCTCTCTCTCTCTCCACAACATTTGCAGCTCTCCCCTGCAGCACAAAAATAGGATTATATTGATTGAGATTACTTAAATAAAGAAGTTAACAGTAGATGTGGCAAGTTAAAAATTAACACAGAAGAAACATCAAATTAACCCTTCAGTTCCCATAGACATAAAGCTGTTTCTGCAGCTACTGTCAAACTTGTTCTTCGATTTTTTTTGTGTATGTTATGAATGTTGATTTTAATACAATCGATGATGGTGATTTGGTTATATGTGAAGGATGTTTAACCATGTTATGCTACAACAGATGATGGGGAGTCCAATGAAGCACAGATACTCGAGAATTGAAAGTACACTAATACAGAGTTAAAGGCAATAGATTAAAATTAAAACCAGGGAAACCCTTTTCCAAAAGTAGTAGAATGCAGTCAGCAGTCAGAGGAACAGCCAAATTCGTACAAGTCCAGCTGTGGATCTTTCTTCAACCAGACATAGTGAGGAGCCCTAAGTCATGCAAACCTGGCAGCCTACCAGGAAACTCATTAGAGAAGCCAGAGCAAAGAGGAAAGGTAGCAGCAATAGCCAGCTAAAGGGCAAGGACACATTTGAAAATCAAATTGATCAAAACCAAATTTGACCCCCATTCCAAACTACATTCATGATGGCCAAATAAGGGCTCTGGGCCTCTCTTTTGAACCGGGCAACAGGGGGCGTGGGCGAGGCTGTCAGCATTATCAAAGCCAAGGCTATTTTGCTATCACTCCCTGAAAGTTCAATCGAGATACATACCAGGGACAATATAGAGGTGTCATGGTAATTGGCAAATACCGTGATAACCTCCATATTATCCCGGTGTGAGAATTGTTAAAAGAAATACAGGCTCAAAAATACAGCAGGGAACTAAAGCGCCGGTCAGCCACCATGCCCTCCCTGCGGATGCTGTAGCCCTTCAGATAGATATTTGGGGAAAGTCAACAGTTACAACATGAGTTTACGGACACTCTTGTCTATTATTAGTCGACTCAAGTGCCTCCCTAACTATTCTCCCAGAAGAGCAATCCAAAGAGTCTCAACTTTCTTCAGATAAAGTTGTAAAATTGAGTAGTTTTGAAGGTTCTGATGCAAAGGAATATCTATCCACCCCGTTGAAAATTTATGTGGGAAATGTTGAAGGTGTATAACGATGGTAGTCAGTCAATAATGGGTTAACAATAATGTTCATGCTATAGCTGCTACGAGGCAGGTAAAAGATGCACTGGATTTGGGATATAGTATCCAGAGACAGGATAATCAGATTGCTTTAAATTTGCATGCACAAGGAACAAAACTAGCTGCAGCAGCTTTTGTAATGAATAATCCAGGCAGATAAGAAATGTGTCTGAAAATGTATGTCCCTGCCTACGATTCTTATATATATATATATATGCGAACTTCACCCTCTAAATCTACCGTGTTTTCCCCACATGTAGTTGTGACTGGATGGTCCATGAGAATGCCCTTGCACTTATGGTTGGATGAAATGTTCATACCAGCACTGCAAGGTATTACCCCTGAGAACTATGTAAATAAGTAAATAATTTAGCACACACGTATAAGGTAGTAGCGATGGAAATTAGGAAAAGTAAGTATGCAAACAAAATGTACATGGATAATGGAATAAAGGAGGAAAAGTATGAAATTGGCAATTCAGTAATGTTATGTCTACGAGACGTTTGGCCAATTTGCAAAGACATCAAGATATTAATACAGAATTATTGACAGAGCAAGTCCTTCGGTATACCTGATTCGTATCAAGTATGATAACCACTAACACACAGAGATATGAGGCCCCAAATTAAATAGCTGAAGTTGTTTGAAAGGTTTGAATAAGTAACCTTGTGCTCTCAGCCCCTAACAGCTGAACATCATGTGGAGACTCTATGCCTCGGATTGACCACCCTGATCATGGGCAATGATCTACCACTGTTTTCGGACAAGGGAGTTAAAACTGATGATCTCACTTGTGATCACATATGGGTGACACTGGATTTCAGTATCTCGACTGAAATGTTTTTCCACTGAACACATGCAATCAACGGCATTACGACAAGCTTACCAGAAAAGACTTGGAACAATTGTAAACTTTAAATTAAACAAAAGAGACAATCAGCAAAGCTTATGATGATATGGGAGTTCAACGTAAACATCAGAAATCATTGCTCTCACAGAACATTGCAAGATGTAATAGGTTGCGTCGGGATGAACACATTAAATAAAGTTTAGGATTTCCAAGCTTCTGTGAAGTATAATGTGTAGGCAATTATTGAATGTATCAAACATATAGTCTGTATATTCCAGGCACACTGTAGTGTTTAGTTCAATAATTGAAAGAAATAGAAAGCAACTCATAATAATTCAAGCCAAATTTAATCAACCGTTACATTCCTGATCTTTGTTTTCATTTCTTTCTGAAGTCAGTTTTATACTATGCTTTGCCAAGATAAGGGTATGGGGGGGAAGGTGCTCAATGCCAAATTTAGTCTCAGAGAGAGAAGTAACTTCTCTAAAGCTTACTTTCAAAATAAGATGTATTTTATCAATTCAGCATTTTTATCAATATTTATTTCAACCTTTCAAATAGTAGTTGTGTGGATTAGATTTCCGATACAAGCAGTTGATGCTGTGTCAATTAAACAAAAAGACCTGGATAAGTATCTCCTCAGGAATGATATTGGGGGATACAAATAACAATATATTTGCCTTTGATATTTTATCATGTTGAAACATCTCAGAACACTTCAAACAATAGGTTATTTGGAAGGTTAGGCAAATCAATTCTGTATTCAAAAAGGAAATTAAATAAATAAAGGAAGAATAAACACTGTATAAAGAGCATAGAGAACAAATAGCACAACGGTATTAAAGTTGATCGCATGCCATAGCATTCTGGGGCAAATGGCCTCTTTCTGAGTTCAGATTCACATTGTAAAAATGAACAAATGTTGTAAATAGAATCAGACATCCTGAATAATTGGATTGCAGTATAGAAAATGGCCATTCAGCCCATCAAAAACACTCTATTGTTCTAATCTAATCTCATATTCTGATTTGCTCCTCATAAGGTTAAATCTTTGTGGGACACTGCTGGGAGCAAATTGACTTCTGCTTTCACCCATAATATAGAGTTACACAATTTAAAGTATATTCCAGCGGCTTGGGTAGTCCTCCTGACGTGAAAGGCACTATACAAATGTAATTTGTTGTTGTTGTTGTATATCCTGTGAAGCTCTTTGTGACGTCTCGACAACGTGATAAGGTGCTATATCAAATGCAAGCATTATTATTATCTCTTCTTTTGCAAGCGTCTATTAATTCCTTTTGAAAAGAATTGATGGCACTCTGCTTCAATAATGGAAATCAGGTTAAACCTGATGTGATTTGGCTATTATCAAACTGCTGGCTTTTGTGTTGTTAATGATATGCAATCAATTATGGTGGATAATGTAGGTTCCCAATGTATTATGGCTACTCATTAAAGTCAGGCATACTTAACAATACTATATCAAAATGATTTTTTTTAAAAAGCCGCCATTCTTCCAGATCAGTTTTCACTTTGGTAAGATGGGCAGCCAGGAAGGCCATAAAAGTAAGTTGCAATTCGCGACTTTGGAAATTATACAGGCTGCAGCCAGTGGATTCCCTGTGCAGTGCAAACCAGTATAAACCAACAGTGCCTGCAGTCCATCCACCACAAAATAAATATGTCGTAGTTTGTCTTGGGGGGGGGGGGGGGCAAAACTTGTAATCACCACCATTCCTTGCCTTTGATTTGTCATACCCATTTTCATAAAGTGAATTTTATTCCTTGGTTTCATGTTGCTTTACACAATATTTGTGAACGACAACGATTTACATGTATATAGTGCCCTTCACGCAGGATAGTGAAAGATTATTAAACAGCAATCATCTGAAACTGGCAGGTTTACTGAATCTCTTTAACAAGCAGAAGAATAAATCTCCAGAAAACCGAAATGGAGCAAAATACAAACAGGGTTCACTAAACAGTTCCAACAAATATGTTCCATAAATATATAAAATACATACGCACAGATGCCAACCAGTTGAAGATTAGTCACAAACATCTCAGCCACACTGCACACAAGTTGTCTCTCAACACAAGTCATGAACATTTCTCAAACTACTAAATTCTGCAGTTATATAAAAAGATTTAAGACCCCATTAAAGTTGTAAAACTCAACAAGAAAGGTTACCTTTCTAAACACAGAATTATGGAGTAGCTGAGAACTGTTGTTCCGCGACAACACTTGTGCTTTCTCCCAACTGGATGTTTAAGGAGGCTTTACAGCCGTGTCTGTATTTTCAGTTAGCGATTTATCTCAAGGGTTGAGAAGGAAAAACACAAATATTTTTCACACGACTAAGGTTTTCCCCATTACATTCATTCAGCTTTATAAATCTGATTTGAAAATAGCTATGGTTTTATACAGACAAGTCCGTTTTATTTCACTTTGAAAACAACAGAGTAAATAAAGTCAATTCCTAACAATATTCACATTGAAGGACAAACGGAATTCAATAAAAAAAGTGAAAACATCACCAGAAATTAACAATTAATGTTTATCAGAAACACTTAAGTTTAAACAGTTTTTTATTTTTATTATTTCCCCAGAGAAGTTGCAAGAGTCTTTCCTCAGGACAATTTGTTAGGATTATCCCGAAGGCATTATATGGATCAGTCAGAAGCTTACATCTTGTGCAGCATGAAGTT